ATGCGCGAAATCCAGGTCTTCTAGGTTCTTCACGTCGGTCCAGGATATCCCTGTCTTCTCGTTTCCCACTGTCTGACGCATAAGCCACCGAAGTTAGTTATGGTCAATTATACTAGTTCATCTACGATGAAATTAAACGAAAATGAGCAGTTCACTGGTTGTCATCATTTCAGATGGTGACTGTCCGTAAGTCGTTATAAGGCTTCCTGAGTTCCAGTAGAATACCTTGGTTAGTATGAAATACTTTCTCGCCCTTCCATCAGAGTCAGATGTTATCATAGCACTTTTTGGTCGACAGAGTTAAATGCTTCTTCTAGGTCAAGATATGTAGGAATTTTTGGACGCCGGTAAGTATGCTATTGTTTCAAAATCCGTGGGAAGGTGAAGATATGATCAGTACGCACTCTACGTACTTTTAGACACGCATATTTTTCGTGAAAATGTTCGGCAGTATGTAACGGGAGAGGATAAGAGACATGATAATGAACCTTTACTAAGGAAGAACACATCGTATGCATACATTTTTTAGCTAAATATTAAAGTTCGACTAGATCACAGGATAATAGATCAATCTAATTGGTTGGCAATTGGTCCAAGGCTAAACAAGTTGTCCATTCACGTTATTTCACGTCCACAACGTAAACTGAATCCAGATTTGAAAAAATAAACACTTCGACCTCTTCAGCCAGTGACTTAAAATGTTGATTTGAATTTTAGCTGATTCCTATCAATCATCATCACTTTACAAGTATACTAGCTCACTCTATTTAACCATATGATTATAACTATTGATTGAATTCTTCGTATCCACAATGTATAAACAACAATCACTGGTAATAGGTCTTTAGTAATATGATTCAGAAAACATAAGACTGCAACAAATGTTTTCAAGTATTGGTTTGTAGGGATTTGAATGACTGTTTACAGGATTTCATCATGAGCTGACATTGGATGGAGATCCATTGAGAAACAAGCTGGGAGTACTGGACAGTCAGCTGTTTCCTCAGCCTAGTTTGGGACTTTTCATCAGTACGCACCTACCATAGGGGTTCGAACCCAGGCAGAAGCTGGATTACATGGACTGGCCACTAGATCGGGTCCCAGTGGCTTAATGGTCTACCAGCTCGCCTTGTAACCATAAGGCTATGGGTGCGTACTGACGAAGAGTCCAAAACTAGGCTGAGGAAACAGCTGTAATAAATATATTCACTTATTATGAACTAGAACATTTTGAAGCATTCATTCAATTTTCAATAACACATTCTCTTTCCTATTTCATCCTTCTTATTATTTTATGTAAGTTAAAGGACCGTTCAATTTTGTGCTTTTGTAAGATTGTAGTGTGTGTACATCGGTGTTTCAAAAGTAGAATCCTCGCAAACTACGCTGCAAGTGGTCTGGGGTCCAATCCCCAACCGACGTACTCCTAAACCTCGCTTAGTCGGTAGTAGTAATCCCTGTAAAGAGAAAAAGGCTGGACGTGAGACAAGCAACTCCACCCACCCTGTGAGAAAACCCTCATTGCTACTGAATCTTCAAAGCTCAAGCTTGAAACCTGATAAAAATATCGCAGTATACAAAAGAGCGAAGGAGTACATTTTTTTGTCATAAGTAACACTAATTTAGGTTTTGTGTACATCTGAGTACTACTTGAAGATGAAACGTATTTCATTGTATCGCATTATATCGCATCTGCTCACTAGGTGCTTACTGTCCATTCCATTTTTCGTGATATAAATAAATTTTCTATAGTTGGTTTGTAAGGATTAGGTTTGTTTTTACGAGTTGATCACAGATTGATATCATTTAGAGAACCATTGAAAACCAGAGAGTACTGGACAGCTGTTTCATCCCAGTTTGGGAATCATCAGCAGTACGCGTCCACCTCCAGGGTTCTGACCCAGGATCTTCCAGTTACAAGGCAAGCTCGTATACCATTCAGCCACTGGGACCTGATTCAATGGCCAGTCCATGAATTCTAACTTCTACCAATTCGTGACATCCATCCCCAGTGGGTGAGTACTGCCGATGATTCCCAAACTAGGATGAAACAGCTCTCCAGTACTCCCTGGTTTTCAATGGTTCTCTAACTGATATCAATACGTGATCAACTCGTAAAAAAGTATATTTAAACAATTATTGTTTTCTGGATAGTTTACTCTGTCTGCTTAAAAAATAAGTCGAATGTCATTCAGATTAGTGCAGTTAAAGTTTACACCGAATGAATATGTCGCAATTCTCTTTTTTGGTGGTGGGTGAGTACAAATTATGTAAAAGTTCATTGTGAACTTATTTCACCTGTTTTTCTCGCTAAACATTGATTCTAGTCGTGATGCTGTATCATACTCTGTCTACCTAAATTTAACGAAATATTTGAAAAAAGAAGACCAATATGTTGCATGGGAAACAACACGGAGAGCACTTTCTTACCTAGATCGTATGCTAGCTATGGATGAAATTTATGGAGCTTTTCAAGCATATTTGCGTCTCCTTGTTGATGAACCTCTTAAATCAGTAGATTGGAAAACTATGAAAGAAGACAAAGACCATATGAAACAGTAAGTTAACCGGTATTCTTTCTGCTGCTTGGCTTAAGTTTACGCAAATTTAGTATTCACGTAATGGTACTGATAAATGCAATTAACAGTGAACTGTTGACGAACGACTGCGAAATAATAATAATCTACTTTATTCCAAAAACAGTACTCATAATACAGAATGGAATTCTCAGCATTTGTCACAATACTGTATCTGATTTACTCAAAATATAAATAAAATTATAAATTAAAACAAAATTAACCAGAGGAATTTGTCCACGTTTGCGATATAAAGTCAAAAATATTCGAAGTGCGAGTTGAGAATATTAAATATAATAATAATAATAACAGTGAGTTTGTTTCAAACAGTATTGTCGATTCAGTTTGGAAATGCTTAGCATGTTATAGATTATTGAATCTAATGTTCTGTTGACATAGTATGGTGAGGGGAAATACAAAATTAACAGTTATAACACAGCTTAAATGATGTTCACACTTATGAAAAAAATAAACAAATAGAAACACAAAACTGAGAGGATTATAAATATAAGAAGTACGATAACAATAAAGCTTCATGTTATAGGGGTTGAAGGAAATGGTTTATTTAATAGTGCAAAGAAGGTTAGTTAGTTCATGCTTGACACTATTTTCATCACATAAAGTAAATGCCAAATATGGTATAGTGGGATTTTTATACTTAGACGTACGTGCATGAAGTCTTCTGAAAAGACTTCTTGTTTTACCTGAGGAGACACAAAGTTGGAGCTGCGGGTAGAGTGGGTGCTCACAGTCTGACAAAATTCCTTTAGCAAATTTGTTGCATGAAATCAAGTGCCTATCAGTGACAATGTCAACGATATGGCCCAATGGGATACCACTCGCCCTACTGACAGCTAGTCTTCAGAGTTCTACGAAGTATGACATAGACTTTTTAAGCAATCCTGGAAAGAATAAGTAAGGGTGAACAGTAAAGAAGAATAGGCGAGATGCACGAGTGGACAAACTTTAAGAGGCGAGGTTAGGTTATGCTTGAGTGCCTTAACTTCATAATGTAAAAAGTCAAACAAAATATTCTTTTAGAAATCGCTAAGACATGAGAGGACCAGGATAGGTCAGAAGAAAGAATTATTCCAAGATACTTAATTTCAGACTTGGTTTCTATATCAGTATCATCAATTTTGCAAGGGTCATAGGAGCCAACAGCTTCATTTAACTTTCTTTTACATTCGGAAACTGAAATTAACAGTCTGACATTTGGAGGAATTTAGTTCAAGACCACTAGACGAAGACTATTTGCTAACTCATGATAAAAAGCTGTTCACCTTAGTACAGTTTAGCTGGGAATTAACAGACACTGGATAGCGATAGCACAGTTTACTTTAGATACTCAGAAATAACGTCCCTGAATGGTGATTGCCATATCTCACATACCGAATAGATACTCTAGTCATGCCGACTTTATTTTGACCTCCTTTGCAGTATCATCTAAATAACGAAGCTCCTGTGGGTGCTATCACATGATTACACAACTGTTAATTAAGCTATCTCATATGTTTTTGCTGTTACGGATATGTTTGACTTCTGGAGCTTTGCACAAAATATTTTTACTAACTATTTGCAACGTAGATTTATCCAAACTCTTGGAGGAAAGGAGGTTAAAATTATTAAGAGTTCGGACATACGTAATGTGGTATACACCTAACATGTTTTTATCCATGTGCACACAATATGAACAAAGGAAAAGAAGAGTTTAGACGTGAAACCAGATGCCGCTTTCGTATATGCCTATTTCGCATTAACTTTGCTCTAATTCTCATCTTTTCTACTATTTCTATTTTTAGCATGTTACGCTTGACTTTAACTAAGCTAGCATGTCAAGCTGAGCATCATTTTTGTGTTAAAATGGCCTCAGAATATTATAAAAACTGGATGCAGAATCCTGAAGAGAACTTGTAAGTTTCCGTTAGTCTATCTGTCACCGATAATTGTTTTATTGCATTCATAATTCAGTTCCATAATATTTTATAATGTATTTTAGACGTTGACCTACACCAAAATTGTTGTCATTGGTACTATCCTAAAGTTCATGCAGGAGTGGATTATGTGGCATTAGTAATCAGACACTGGGGGTCTGAGTGGAACATATAGCTTTAACAGCACAACTCCATTGTATTATGTTTTCCGAAATCTCCTCCAGTTGCCCCCATGACTGATCATAGATTTTCATCTCCTCGTCACACAATCTCCTCCATGTCACTCCCAGACAGACGCAAAACTCACCGTTTCCCATTCAGCTTCCATTCAACAACCTGGCTGGCTGGCACACGAAGTCACTCAGTGGTCTCATAAGAAGTGTAACTCCAGTCCATTTCCACTTTCTTCGGGATACATGTCGGTCAATATATTCTTGATTGGTTCGTTCCCATAGTTTCTTGCCGCTAATTCTTTTGTAAAGAACCTAGAAGACCTGGATTTCGCGCATGGATGATTTATGTTTGATGTCACACAAAATCGAAGACTTACAAGCGAAAACCGACAAACTGGTCGAAGAAGCAGCAAACACAGGACTCCAGATAAACATAGACAAGACGGAGGTTATGAAACATCCAGCGCCTATCACCATCAACAGGAGGGATTTGAAAGAGGTTACTTCACTCACTTATCTAGGGAGCATTGTCTCAACTACAGGAGGAATGGACGAGGATGCCAAATCGAGAATCGGGAAGGCGAGAAACACACTCATCAACCTGAAACCAATCTGGAAATCTTCGTCACTCAACTCAGCATCAACAACAAAATTCCTATTTTCAATACAAACGTCAAGTCAGTCAGTTCTTCTATACGGATCAGAAACTTGGCGGGTCACAAAGAATATTTCCAACAGGTTGCGAACCTTTATCAACAACTGTCTTCGTTCTATACTCAAAATTAGATGGCCGGAAAGAAGAACCAACATGAAACTATGGGAACAAACAAAACAAGAACCAATCGGCTAAGAAATATGCAGGAGAAAGTGGAGATGGATTGGACACTCGCTGAGGAGGCCGCTGGGCGACATCGCGTGTCAGGCCATATCTCGAGTGGAACCTGAAAGGGAAGCGGCGAGTGGGACTTCCAAAGGTTTCATGGAAGAGATCGTGTGAAGAAGAGTTGAAACAGTATGGATTAACATGGACACAGGTGAAAAGTACAGCAGAAGACAGAAGCAAGTGGAGGCGTGCAGTTGAAGCCCTATGTTCCACTAGGAACCCAAGGGAACAATAAAAATAATAATTCTTTTTGGTCCACCATCCGATCTTACGTATCGATCGAAGTTAGCTGTTGATTAAAGTCTGCAGTAGCCTGATGGAAATGCTTGTGATGATGCGCCAAATTTCTAATCCACAAAGAAGCATTCATTGACTTAACGTTCATGTGGAAAATCTGAATCTTGTTATTTATGCTGATTGGCGCCAACCTCTCTGCTGATTCCTGAGTAATGAATGTCTATCGTACCTTTCTTATCCATTCTCTCGCCTGTAACTGAAACGATGGTGCTGCGATAAGTGAAAGAAGTGACTTCTTCAAAATTGCTTCCGTCGATAGTGAGATGCGTATTTGCTGTTGTTGTTGCTGTTTGTTAGGCGTTTTCATCATCCCTGTTTGTCTGTGTTTAAATGAAGTCCCGTGTTTCGTTGTCAATGTCTTCCGCTGACTTGTTGACTTTTGCCCATAGATCCTGAAGTTTGTTTAATACTAGACATAAGTTGTTCGCTTGCTTGAATCAATGAGTCGTATTCAGTGTAAGTATCTATTAAACTGTTTAATTTCATAGTTTTAGGAATGCAGTGATTACTACTCACTGTAATAATATTACATGGAGAGAATCAAAAAAGCCTTGGATGAAAAACTTGTACCGGAAGAGGCTGGATTCAGTAAGAACAAGTCATGCATCGATCAAATTGCAACGCTACGGATCATCACTCAAAAAAGCTGGGAATGGCAGTCACCTCTCTACCTCACTCAACTTCATCGACTTTGAAAAAGCCTTCAGCAGACAGCGTCGATCAAGAGGTGATTCGGAAAACACTTCGCCACTACGGGGTGCCGCCAACAATTAAACACCTCATCCAACAGTTGTACGACAATGTTACATACCGAATAATCCGCAACGAGAAACTCACGGAATCTTTCGAAGTGAAGACGGGAGTAAGACAATGCTGGCTGGCTGACTGCCTACTATCTCCAATGATTTTCCTGATTGCAGGCGTTAGACTAGATAATATGACAAATAGCGGGCAACGAGGGAACAGACATAAACTGGACCCACACAAAACACTTGGAGGATCTGGACTTCGCCTATCATTTGTGTCTGATTCCCCACAAACTGGAAAATATGTAACAAGTTGGCAGAAGAAGCATTCAGAGAATATAGGAATTCCTTCAGGTGAACATAGAGAAAACAGAGGTGATGAAGATTCCTGGCCAACAGAAACAGTCACAGCAACAACAACAACAGGAAACAATCAGTCAGCATAAATGGGAGAAATCTGAAAGAAGCAACCTCCTTCAACTACCTGGGAAGCATCATTTCAACTACAGGTGAAACTGACGAAAATTTCAAAGCAGCGAGGATCGGGAAAGCAAGGCAAGCTTTCATTTCTCTCAAGTCTGTGTGGAGATCAACAGCGCTCAGCATGAAAAATAAGATGCCGACTTCCAATTTTAATGTGAAGTCAGTGCTACTTACTATACGGATCAGAGACTTGGCGCCGCGCTGCGCCGCGTCACGAAGGGCACTTCGAACAAACTATAAACGTTCATCAACATTTGTCTGTGCTCAGTACTCAAGATCAGACCGCCGCGAGAATAGGTCGGCAGTAGGGAGGGGTCTCAGGCAATGAGCGAACCAACCCAGTAGGAACCAATTTTGCAACAAATATGTCAGAAGAAATAAGGGGATTTGGCCACATTCTGAGAAAGCAAATCATCAAGTAACACCACACGCCAGACCATCGCTGTAGTGGAACCCAAATGGGAAGCGCTGAGCTGGTCGTCAGTGCGAAGGTAACATGAAGGAGGAGGTGATGTGAAGAGGAGATGAAAGCACGTAGGTAGATATAGAGTCAGGTGAAAATGTTGGCGGAGAACCGAACGTCATAGAGACGTGTGTCTGAAGCCCTATGTTCCTCTAGGGGCTAAAGAAAATAATCCTTACAAACACAAATGTTAATCGAACATCTGCACGTTAAAACGGTTTTAATGCCTGTTGGAACACTTAAAGGACAAGAAGAAATAACACATTTTAGCTGCTGGTATTGACAGTAAAATCGTTGTAGGTAGAGTGTGAACTTTTATTTTACAAGCATTATATCAACCAGTGGAAAAAATAATTATTACAAGATATTTTTTGCACAGAATAACTAGCTGGGTAATTTTTTAACTAAAGATCACATTAGATGATAATGATAAATAGTTCAAATATCCGAACGGATTGTATAGAACTAAAACACAAAGTATGTTTTAACAAGCTCTCATTGTGTGAAACAGATTATCAGAAAGACGAGAGATTTATTTCCTCCTGTAACAGCAGAAGGCAAGACACAGGATCCAAGGTATCCTTTTTCATTGGTCAAACCGCTGTTTATATCTATACAGTTTATATTCCCTAACCAATCACCGAACTTGTGATTTTGGCTTACACTAACGACATAAAACATAATGCTGAAATATATATGCAGCATTCTATTGCTACGCTGTATTAAACTGTGTGAATAATATTCTGACTCTAGCAACAAACAGAATGTTCAAATAGATATATCGTATTCTGTTGCTAATGTCGGATTGAACTGTGGGAATATGTGAGAATAATATTCCGTTGGAACAGAATGTTTGTATCACACCACCACACTCCTGCACCAATCTGTGCCGTCATGTTTTTGAGATCACAATAAATTACTACTGAAAAAGAATTCGACCTAAAGGAAACACCCAGTATAACATTTACAAATCTCATATGACTTGCGTGGACTGATTCGCTCCCATAGTTTTTATAATATTGACGGTATTATATCCTAGGAGGTAAATCGAATGTACCCTATCTTGAAATCAGTTTTTCCTTGAATCTCTGTTGGTCATCTCATATCCTGTTGATTTCTAAGAAAAATGTTTCGTTCCACTTATTGTGTAAAGAAGTTGAGACTTTCTGGAATAACTCAACCTATCCTCTCGTAATTTAATAATTCAAGTATCCTGACCATTCTTCTTCATTGTTCACCGTTATTCCTCCCTGGACTTCTCAAAAAAGACTATAACATATTATCTAGGACATTGAAGTTTGTATTAAAAGTTAGACGTGTGTGCCTTTACCTCAACTAACAGACATTGCCGTCGATGAGCATTTTAATTCTTGCCAGCAGTTAGCTGAAGTTATCTTGTCTAACTCCAAACATCTTCTTTATTCGCAAATTTCTCCTTGTATATTTTCGGATAAAGCCAGAAGAAATTCCTCCAAGAATTTATGCTCGTACAGCCAAATATATATTAAATCTTATCATACCACCATATTTAGCATGGGTTTTGTGTAAAGAGACAAATGTCCGGATAGAGTTTACAAACTTTTTAAATCAGTAACTGAATTGCAAATTGAGTGTCAATATTAACAAGTGTAAAGAGGGTGTGAAAATGTACAAAAGGAACAAATAAGAGTGATAATAGTAGAATTTTTTTTAAAAATTAAAATTTTTTGCAGGGAAGAACTAGTGAAGTGGTTAAGACCAAAGTAGACTCAGAGACTGGACAAACTTTTTTCTGTATTAAGAGTTCGGGTTTTTTTGATGAATTGCCAGAGTCTCCGCCTAATTATAAGCAAAGATTATGAGTATTGTTTATTATATATTACATATTTATCATTTTAAATTTATGTACTTATATATTCATAAAAGCAGCTAAATTGTTGCATTATGTATAAAAT